TAACTTAACCGGATCGGCCGAAAAATCATTCGGTCAATTTTTATCAGGTGTTCCAGGAATTATGAAAGTAGCTGTAAAGCTATTTTATGCAATTCAATATTTAATTGGCGGGCCTATTTGGGTCGGGTTTGGGCCGGGCCTAATTTTAATTTAAGGCCCGCCCAGGCCCGTCATTTGGGCTTTTTTTTTCTTGGGCCGGGCTTGGGCTCATAAATGTTTTGTGGGCCTAAGTATGGGCCCTATTGAAGCCCGCCCAACTCGGCCAATTCCGGACCCTATATGTAGGTAGGCTATTAAGTAATATTTTGATTTTAAGTAATTAAGTTTGGGTTAGTAATATATAAAAAATTTTTATATTAGTAAAAATAGATTTTTTAACTAAATCAAAATGAATTTTTTACAAATCAAAATAAGATTTTTTGCTAGAGTTGGTACCCAAGCTTTTAGATTTCTAGCCAAAGTTTGAAGTTAGTAAGATACTTCATAAACATGTGTTACTAAGTTAGCAATAAGTAATGTAATTTCTTTATTGCAATTCTAGCTTTTTCAAAAGCAAGTACAAAGTGTCATATCTGGGGCTATAAAGAAGTTTAAGTAATATATTAAGTCTTAACTCTCAAGAGTAATATATTGGGCTTACCCAAATGTGAGTGTAAAACATTGTAAAAAATAAAACTACTATAAAGTACACTGAAGAAGAAAAAAAAATTAATAGAATTTTTTTATTAAGTTTGAAGAGAAAAATTTTTAATACAAAAAATTTTTCATGTTAATGTTAGTATTTAGAGTTTAGGTTAGAGTTTAAGAAGGGTGTAAAGCATTTTTATTTGTATTAATTAATTAGCTAGTTTTTAATATAGTATATACATAGATGTGTTTTAATAAAAGACAAAATTTTTATATAAATCAGTCATAAAACATGTCCAACTGATTGCTGTTATGTAAAATTTAAATTGAATTTATTTAAAAATATACATATTTGATATTTACTATATAATCATGAAGACAAAAATGCTCATATCTCACAATACACTGGATCAATTCTTTCCTTTATGACTTTTATTAGATACCAAAAAAGCAAAAAATACTTATCCCCACACATGTATATATTGTGTGCCAGGTTATGCATGTTGCTGATCATAGATTATCAATTAACCTGACACTTCTCCTATTAATAAATTTGAAAGTTTTTTTACACTTTAGTGATAATTTCTCAATAAGTACTTAATCAAATTCAGTAAACTTTTTTTATTTTAATTCTATAGGCTTGTAGAATTAAAATAAAAAAAATTTTATTGGATTTTATTTGCTGGTTGTCGAGAAATCATCGCTAAATGTTTTGAAAAAATTAATATCTTCAAAAAAAAAATCGGTTTGATTTTTCCTTCTTTTAACTTTAAATGAAGATTTCTCAACAGCCGATTACCCAAATCCGATGAAAATTGGTTTATTTTAATTCTGTGAATTCATAGAATTAATATAAAAAAATTTTTAATCAAATTGAATAGCAGGTTGGTGAGATATCTTCATTAAAAGTTAAAAAAAATTTTGGTTGTAGCTTTTTTTTTATAGGCATCTAAGCTATAAACGAAGATTACTTGGCAATTATCTAATCAAATTTGATCGATTTTTTTTATTTTAATTCTATAAGCTTATAGAATTGAAATAAAAAAAAAATTGATCAAATTTGATCAAATAATTGCCGAGTAATCTTCGTTCATAGCTTAGGTGTCTATAAAAAGAAAGCTGTGGCCAAATTTTTTTTTAACTTTTAATAAAGATATCTCACCAACCTGCTATTTAATTTGATTAAAATTTTTTTTATCTTAATTCCATGAATCCACAGAATTAAAATAAACCAATTTTCATTAAATTTGGGTAATCGACTATTGAGAAATATTCGTTTAAAGTTCAAAGAAGGAAAAATTAACTCAATTTTTGGATTTCTTAGATATTTTAAGTTTTTAATACTTTTAACGATGGTTTTTGATAACCACTGAACGAAATTCAATAAATTTTTTTTATTATATTACACAAAATTATAAAATTAAAAGAAAAAATTTTACTGAATTCAATCAAGTAGTTATTGGGAAATCATCGCTAGAAGCTTTAAAAGACTTTCTGTACCACAGGTTATAATACATGTTCGAAAATTATTGATATAAAATTTTATTAATTTCAATAATATTTATGAATTCTGCAGCTTATAGAGTTTAAAAATATCTTTTAACAATGAATTTTGCTCATTCTTGTTAAGAAATGCCTTCAAAATTACAGTAATTAACCTGATCGGAGTATAAAAATGTACTTACGTACTTGTGCATATTTATTGATATATGACATAATAAATATATCATGACTATATAAGCTCCTTTTTTTTTTTTTTTTTCTTAGCTTTCTACACTCTTTCTTGGCATTTATCAGTTTTTTTCTTCGTTAAAGTCACAGATAAAACACTAGTAAAAAAGGATTAGTATGGAAGCCAATAACTTCAAAGTATAAGTTTGAAATTTAAATAAAGTTTAGAAAAATTTTCCATATAAAGAATAATAACAACAATAATGTTTTTATACTGTTACAGGTTTTTAATGATCAATCTTGCACTACTATATCAAGGGTGTATCAGCTTCCTGAAGAAGCATTCCAAATAGATATACAAAGTTTACCAACTAAACCTGTAAATAAGCTTTACAATTTGTATTTTTTTGTACATATATACGTACAATATACTTAATTTATTTATTCTTTTGTAGATCATGTCTTGGAACTTACTACTGGAGATTTTGAAGCCAGTTCTTCCTAAAAATTATACTTACCAAATTTAAAATTTCGATAATCATTCCTCATTCTGGACAGAGGAAAATTTTGAAGTACCAAACTTTAAATTAGATACATTTGTAGATGTAAATAGTATAGAAAGGGCATGTGAATGGTTTACAGAATTTCAAAGCTGGTCTAAAACAACTATGCCAGAAACAAAAAAATTTGAAATCAAAGAAAAACGAATACTTTTTCAAGAGCTTAGACACTGTATTCATAGTGATCAAGTAAAAAAAAAACAGAGTCATCGTGAAGTAAAGTATCCATATTCATCTTGGGCACGTAACATAAATTGTACCACAGCCATCCATCTTCAGCTAGAACATCAATAACTTTTACTAAGTTATCCATTAGAAATAAATATAGTATTTACACATAATCATATTATTAATTTAGCAGCTTTACTAAGTTTTCGGTGTGTTGAAAGAGAAGTTTATGAAAAATTCATTAACTTATTTTGGGATGGGCACTCACCATCTTCAGCATTACATGTTCATGAAGATAATCTCTATCTTAATGCAACAAATGAGCAAGAGTTGTTAGAGGTTCTTGCAGATCGGGCCTACAACCCGGATTATAGTTATATCACTAATCTTTTCAGCAATATCGTGACAATATACTTGGCAGTCGTAATGGTAAATTAATGTTCAAACATTTGGAAGCTGTAATTTCAGAATATAATGAATCAGGGCAGGGCAAAGCAGTTTTGCAAGAGTATAATATAAATACTGAAGATGTATTTATTTTATGCATTGTAACTAATTTGATGGCCCAGGTACATGAAAGAATTCTTTAATCAGGGGAAATATGTTATATAGATGCATCTATGTTTTTTGATTCACTTAATACTTCTATTATACTCTTATACATTAGCTATGTGACCGGCGCACTTCTACTTGGACTATTCCTTACCTTGGATGAGCTTGAATTGATAATAGAAAGAGCAGTAATAATCTATTTATACTTTAAGCTATTCTTAATTTTATTTCAAACAAAAAAAAAACAAAAACATTAATATGTTTATTTCTTTTTTTTTAGCTAAATTTACTAAAAACAATTCTTCCACCTAGCACGTTTTATAGTTATGGACCACAAGTTGGACTGACGGTTTTTTTAACTGATAATTCAAATTTAAAGCATAACGTTTTGAAACATTGTTGGCCAAAAAGTAATTAGTGTAGTTTAGCGGCTCTCAACAAATTAGATCCTTAGAAATTAGTAAGTTTTATATTTATAGATAATATTTAAATATTTTGTTTAAGACATGATTATTTATTTCTAAATACCGTGACAGATTTTTTCTTATTACAGAATTAGCTACTTGAATTTTATTGTGATAAGAGTTAGGCTAATTATTTACTTGAATCATCAAATCGTTATGGAAAAGTTAGTCTGATTAATAAATTAACAAAATTTTTTTTTTATTATTATGGGATCTCTAGATTGTATTGTAGAACTTTGTTGTAAAATTTTGCTAATTTTATTAATGTTTATTGGAATTTTTAAAAACTTATATAGGAATTCGCCTTTTATACACATTCCACTTTTTGCAAGCATTCTGGAGATGAATTTACGATTCTAAGCATCAAATTGATAAGGAAGTTTGGGTACCTATTATGGAAAAGATAAAAAAAATCTTGTATACATTATCGAATTCGAATATGAATATACATTATAATGAATTTAAGCAGAGGTTTTACAGTTATCTGCAATTAAAAAAGCATTTTGAACTTTTGTGGGAATGCCAACAATCCTGGGCTTTATCCTTTCGTACAGGTTTACCTTTACGCGGCAACAATACTAATAATTACATTGAATGTGGTTTGAAATTATAAAAGATATCATTTTTGCAAGGACACAAGCTTACAACCCTATGCAGATGTTTCAATTCATTACTACAAATATGGAAGGATTCTATGAGAAGTGGTTGCTCAGAATTGCACATATGCACCTGGGAGCTTTATGTATTGCGAAGCATTTTTTATACCCCAGTTGGGAAACAATTAACCTGAACACAATTCAAAAAACAAATATAGAGCATGAATATATTGTCCCTATTACAAATGAAAATAATGATATTCTTTATACTGTGAATAGCGAGTTCGGCATTTGCTCTTGCCTTGTTGGAATGTCAGGTGCACTCTGTAAGCACCAGAGTGCAGTTTTAGCAAAATTTCACATTTCAATGTTTAATTTTATTTTGTCATTGAAACCAGATAATCGTGCAATTTATGCACATATAGCACTTGGTAAGTAAAATTACATATTTTCCCAACATCTATTGTTATATAATACAAATTGGGCTATCAAAATTCTTTAATTTAGGTTATATTGCCCAAGATATGTTCTTTTATGCATCATTATATACACAACCAGCTTTACAAACTCAAGAAGTTTTATACATTAATGATAAGGTGAAGATATCAGATAATTTATCAAGAACTGAGTGGATGTAGGTTTTTTTATTTCTAATTAGAAAATATTACTGTATATATTACAATTTTTTTTGATAAATTTTAGAGAACCTGAAGAACCAAATAAAGAGAACAAAAAAATCAAAGAAATTGATAATTCCGATTTTATTTTATTTTTAGAAGAGATTAAATTGGTGAACTATCTGAAATTATCAACAGGTTATTATTTTTTTAATAACTATACAACTTATATACTGTATAATAATTTTAATACTACGTTGTATGTACAAAGACTATCAAGGTGCTGATCAACCTTTACAAAGTGTGTTAGATAAGTTTAAAGATCGTTATAATGCGGCAAAATCAAGATCTATCTCTTGATTATCTTTTTTTCTTTACGACCTTGATAGCAATCTAGACCCGACAGCTTGTATTAAAAGTGGTGCCCAAATATGTGTCCAGATAGAATCAATCAAGTGATGCAAAGTAGAAGACAATATCAAGCAAAGGCAAACTGTTCTTTAAAATAGAGTGAATGAAAATTCAGATCTCCAGGTTATGCCTGCTAGAAAAAAAAGGAAAGTAGGCAAAAAAAAGTATAACTTGAGTAAGAACATATCTAAAAATCAGCCAAACTGATAACAAGTCCATCGCTTTAACTGTTTTAACATTCATAGTGAGTTATAAAATTTTATAATTATATATTTGCAATTTTTTAAGAGTATTAAAAATACTTGTGTGCTTTTAAAATAATCTGAATAATTAAATCATGTGCACTACAATTGATTAGGCTATATCAATAAATTTATAAATGTAAAATGCGAGAACTTTTTAGTAAGCTATATTAATTATGACCAATAGTATTAAATAAGTTATTCTATACTATGTTAAACAAAGAATCGTTGGTCTGGTTTTACACATATTGGAGCATTATTTTCGTACAATAGTTCTGCTGAATATTCTTTATTTTTTTATCTATCATGTCTAATTGCCGTAAAATACTTTTAAGTTAAATCGATATTTTGAGTTCGCTTAAATTATTAAAGAATTTCTTTCTAAAATAACGAATATTGATAATTTACAATAGATTGAGAACTTGTTAAGTCTTATCATAACAAAAGGTTTATATTTTATCTGTTAAAATATTATATTTAGCAAATTTTTATATTCAAAGAAGTCTTCAATCTATAAAATAAGAAAAGTTATCAAAAAAAAATTAATCAAATTTGATCAGATAATTGCCGAGTAATTTTCGTTCATAGCTTAGGTGTCTATAAAAAAAAAGCTGTAGCCAAATTTTTTTTTAACTTTTAATGAAGATATCTCACCAACCTGCTATTCAATTTGATTGAAAATTTTTTTATCTTAATTCCATGAATCCACAGAATTAAAATAAAACAATTTTCATCGAATTTGGGTAATCGGCTGTCAAGAAATCCTCGTTTAAAGTTCAAAGAAGGAAAAATTAACATGATTTTTGGATTTCTTAGATATTTTAAGTTTTTAATACTTTTAACGATGGTTCTCGATAACCACTAAACAAAATTCAATAAATTTTTTTAATTTTATTACACAAAATTATAGAATTAAAAGAAAAAATTTTACTGAATTCGATCAAGTAGTTATTGGAAAATCATCGCTAGAAGCTTTAAAAGACTTTCTGCGCCACAGGTTATAATATATGTTCGAAAATTATTGATATAAAATTTTATAATTTCAATAATATTTATGAATTCTGCAGCTTATAGAGTTTAAGAATATCTTTTAATAATGAATTTTGCTCATTCTTGTTAAGAAATATCTAAAAAATTACAGTAATTAACCTGATCAGAGTGTAAAAATGTACTTACGTACTTGTGCATATTTATTGATATGATATAATAAATACATCATGACTATATAAGCTCCTTTTTTTTTTTTTTTTTTTCTTAGCTTTCTACACTCTTTCTTGGCATTTATCAGTTTTTTCTTCATTAAAGTCACAGATAAAACACTAGTAAAAAAGAATTAGTATGGAAGCCAGTAACCTTAAAGTATAAGTTTGAAATTTAAATAAAGCTCAGAAAAATTTTCCATATAAAGAATAATAACAACGATAATGTTTTTATACTGTCACAGGTTTTTAATGATCAATCTTGAACTACTATATCAAGGATATATCTGCTTCCTGAAGAAGCGTTCCAAATAGATATACAAAGTTTATCAACTAAACCTGTAAATAAGCTTTACAATTTGTATTTTTTTGTACATATATACATACAATATACTTAATTTATTTATTCTTTTGTAGATCATGTCTTGGAACTTACTACCGGAGATTTTGAAGCCAGTTCTTCCTAAAAATTATACTTACCAAACTCAAAATTTCGATAATCATTTCCCATTCTGGACAGAGGAAAATTTTGAAATACCAAACTTTAAATTAGATGCATTTGTAGACATAAATAGTATAGAAAGAGCACATGAATGGTTTACAGAATTTCAAAGCTGGTTTAAAACGACTATGCCAGAAACAAAAAAATTTGAAATCAAAGAAAAACGAGTACTTTTTTGAGAGCTTAAATACTGTATTCATAGTGATCAAGTAAAAAAAAAACAGGGTTATCATGAAGTAAAGTATCCACATTCATTTCGGGCACATAACATAAATTGTACTGCAGCCATTCATTTTTAGCTAGAACGTTAATGACTTTTACTAAATCATCTATTGGAAATAAATATAGTATTTACACATAATCATGTCATTAATTCAGCAGCTTCACTAAGTTTTTAGCATGTTGAAAAAGAAGTTCGTGAAAAATTCATTAACTTATTTTGGGATGGACACTCACTATCTTCAGCATTACATGTTCATAAAGATGATCTCTATCTTAATGCAGCAAATGAGCAAGAGTTGTTAGAGGTTCTTGCAGATTGGGCCTACAACCTGGATTATAGTTATATTGCTAATCTTTTTTAGCAATATCGTGACAATATACTTGGCAGTCGTAATGGTAAATTAATGTTCAAACGTTTGGAAGCTGTAATTTCAGAATATAATAAATCAGAGCAGGGCAAAGCAGTTTTGCAAGAGTATAATACGAATACTGGAGATGTATTTATTTTATGCATTGTAATTAATTTGATGGTCCGGGTATATGAAAGAATTCTTCAATCAGGGGAAATATATTATATGGATGCATCTGCGTCTTTTAATTCACTTAATACTTCTATTACACTCTTATACACTAGCTGTATGGCCGGCGCACTTCCACTTGGACTATTCCTTACCTCGGATAAGCTTGAATTGACAATAGAAAGAGCAGTAATAATCTATTTATACTTAAAGCTATTCTTAATTTTATTTCAAACAAAAAAAAAACAAAAACATTAATATATTTATTTCTTTTTTTTTTAGCTAAATTTACTAAAAACAATTCTCCCACTTAATGTGTTTTATAGTCATGGACCGCAAGTTGGACCGATGGTTTTTTTAACTGATAATTCAAATTCAGTGCATAATGCTTTGAAATATTGTTGGCCAAAAGGTAATTAGTGTAGTTTAGCGGCTCTCAACAAATTAGATCCTTAGAAATTAATAAGTTTTATATTTATAGTTAATACTTAAATATTTTGTTTAATATAAGACACGATTATTTATTTCTAAATGCCATGATGAATTTTTTCTTATTACAGAATTAGCTTCTTGAATTTTATTGTAATAAGAGTTAGGCTAATTATTTACTCGAATCATCAAATCGTTACAGAAAAGTTGGTCTGATTAATAAATTAACAAAATTTTTTTTTTATTATTATGAAATCTCTAGATTGTATTGTAGAACTTTGTTGTAAAATTTTGCTAATTTTATTGGAATTTTTAAAAACTTACATAGGAATTCACCTTTTATGCATATTCCACTTCTTGCAAGCATTCTGGAGATAGATTTACAATTCTAAACATCAAATTAATAAGGAAGTTCGGGCGCCTATTATGGAAAAGATAAAAAAATCTTGTATACATTATCGAATTCGGATATGAATATACATTATAATGAATTTAAGCAGAGGTTTTACAGTTATTTGCAATTAAAAAAGCATTTTGAACTTTTGTGGGAATGCCAACAATCCTGGGCTTTATCCTTTCACACAGGTTTACCTTTATACAGCAACAATACTAATAATTACATTGAATATGGTTTTAAAATTATGAAAGATATCATTTTTGCAAGAACACAAGCTTACAACCCTGTGCAGATGTTTCAATTTATTACTACAAATATGGAAAGATTCTATGAGAAGCGGTTGCTTGGAATTGCACATATGCACCCAGGAGCTTTATGTATTGCGAAGCGTTTTTTATGCCCCAGTTGAGAAATAATTAACCTGAACACAATTCAAAAAACAAATAGAGCATGAATATATTGTTCCTAGTACAAATAAAAATAATAATATTCTTTATACTGTGAATAGCAAGTTTGGCATTTGCTCTTGCCCTGTTGGAATGTCAGGTGCACCCTGTAAGCACCAGAGTGCAGTTTCAGCAAAATTTCACATTTCAATGTTTAATTTTATTCCATTATTGAAACTGGATGATCGCGCAATTTATGCACATATAGCACTTGGTAAGTAAAATTACATATTTCTCTAACATCTGTTGTTACATAATACAAATTGGGCTACCAAAATTCTTTAATTTAGGTTATATTGCCCAAGATATATCCTTTTATGCATCATTACATGCGCAACCAGCTTTACAAGATCAAGAAGTTTTATATATTAATGATAAGGCGAAGATGTCAGATAATTTATCAAGAACTGAGTGGATGTAGGTTTTTTTATTTCTAATTAGAAAATATTACTGTATATATTACAATTTTTTTTAATAAGGGTTAGGGTCCCATAGCCTAGTGGTCTAGATGCCTAACCCTCTACAGACGAGGTCAACGGTTCGATTATAGCTAGTGGTAATTAATTTAATTAATTATCTCTATAATCTACAAGAGCTTTTGAATGTGAAACCCTATAACGATAAGACTATTTGAAGTACATATTTGGCCTATAAAGAATTCTTGGAAGGAGTCCCGAGCCGTAGAGAAGATTGGGTACTATGTGTGACATGGCATCATAGAAAGTAATACCACATAAGGCTGTGCATGTAAATCCTCAATTGGCTAGATAGCACCAACAACCCTAAGGTGGTTTTGGGGATCTTGATTGGGAGAACGGCTAAATGCAGTATATCTGAAAGTGATGAGGGAAGCAGTGAATACAGTAAGGGGCTGTGGTAAGAGGATAGCTTTACCAAATAAAGGAACACCTCTGGCACACAATATTGAAAATTGAAAACTAATAAGGAAAACACTGCATATCACAATGTCGATAATAGGTGCCATACTGATGCACTATAAGTCAAGGTTTCAGGCCTCCTTGCATCACCAAGCTGGAAGTAAAACAATTGTCAGTAGTACACCCATATAACATAGTTATACTGGGAAGCTTCAGCGCTCATGCTATAGTCAATCATACCAACTATAGAAGCATTGTATAAAGTAGATGGCACACTGCAGATAACAACTAGAGATTCGATAAATCTAGCCGTACCATAAGGTATCAATATATATGGAAGGCTATGTACACCAATATGGGAGCAAGAAGAGCGAAAAACTGCCAGAATGAACCAATTTGGGAGAATTATAAGGTTGCTGCAGGAAGTAGATAGAGGAGTATAATAAGTACAAAAATAGATAACAATAGAAAATCTTGTAATATAGTACGTAATTGAGGACTAATTAAGAAGGTTGAAATTGAGATACAGATTGTATTATGGTCACACCCCAAAAGGTAGTGTGAGATATGAACACAATGGTGGCAGTCAATAGGAAGGAAAATTTTGAAAAATAATTACATGAGTAGGACGTGTAATGGTAGATTGCTCCAACTGACCCTAGCTTGAAGTTGGCTTGAAATAGTTAATGGAAAAGTAATATAGGGAAATTAAGGAGTATA